GCTGGGTCAGCCTAACCCAGGCTCTTGAGACTCTTTGGGCTGTCTGTCACTCCTGCCCCACTCCTTCCTGCCCTTTCTTTCCCTTTCAGAAGAACTGCAAAGGCTCCGAGGTAGGAGGTCCAGGCCAGCTGAAATATAATCAGAATAATTAAATAGCACTTTATTTTAAATCGTTCCTCTCCCAGAGCAGGAAAATAATTGGCCAGCCTGTCAAGAGAGAAGCAGGAGACCTGGGGCTTCCGCCATTGCCAAGCTTGGTTCACTGTGCTCTGGGCAACTGTGCCACTGCAAGGGGTTCTGCTGTGCCTGCCCCCTCACTTCCCTGCCTGTCCCAGCCCAGTCCTGTCCCGGCATCCACCCTTCTGTTTCACATCCCATCCTCAGTGTCTGCTCCTCCCCACACACAGTGGCAGGCTGCCCTATTAAGTTCAGGGGAAGGTTGCAGGCCCCTGAGGAACAGTATATGCATCCAGACAGGCTACCTGGTAGAGGCAGCAGAGCTTTAACAGCAAAAAATGCCTCCGTGTGGTGAGAATGTCCTGCAGAGACTGAGCCTGGGAGCCTGGGCTCTGGCCCCCTGCCAGGCCTGGCCTCCTAAATCTGCCCCTGCCCACTCTAAAAGGGCCCCTTCTTCCTCCTCGCCCCTCTGCTGAGTCCAACCACTTATACCCATCCATGCCCTCTATGGGTAAACCTGCAGTGTTACCTGCCTCTGGTTTTTCGATTTGTTTAATTATAGATGAGTTTTCTGCATAATTTATTCCAAAAGCCTGGATTATACTATACAATTAAATCACATTCTGATCATCAACTTCACATATAAAATTAACAACTGGCAACAGTTTAATCTATTCTGCTGCATCTGCACATGGTCTTTTTCTCTTGCCCCTCCACCCCTCCATTCCTCTTCTCCCATCTCCTCCCTGCCCACTCCCTCCCTGGGTGAGCATATGCAGCTGGCTGCCCCCACCTGAGTGCCCTGCAGTTTCACTCAGGGTCTCCCTGCCTTGCAGCTGGGGTCTCAGTGATTCTGTCACTAGCCTCAGGAACTTACCCTGTAAGTAGGGGTGACTTTGCTCCTTCGTCTGCGGGTATATCCTTCTGGTCTCCATTTCCCTTGGTTCTGGAGACCAAAGCCTAGCTTCCCCAGCACATGACTTATCTTCTTTCCTGTTGGGCACCTCATCCTGTCAGGCCATGCTCCACCCACCCTCTCTAGGTGTAGGAATTTATCGACTGTTTCCACTTTTCCACTCAGTGCGCCTGGGTTCTTGGAGGAACAGGGCTGTACTGGATGAGTTTGTAGCCCTCAGAGACTGCCCAGGACTAATATTCCTCATCAGTGTGCCCATTACAGCTGTTTAGCCAATCACCATTAACCCTGTTGACCCAGGGGAAGGCTGAGGTTCCAAGGTTCACGGTTTGCAGAGCCGGCCTCTCCCCTGAGGTTTGCCCAAGGCTACACCATCCTGGAAGGATGAGCTCACGGGCCTGAGGGAGCTAGGGAGACGATCGGGCTTTCCTCTAAGTTTAGGGCACTGCTGCCAGCCGCGCCACCTCACGGTTCTGATCTGTGAGATGGGCTGCAGCCTTTCCCACCCTAGGTTTGGGCGCATGGGAGGACTTACGCAGGCTCCAGCACCTCACCAGTGCACACCCACTCAGGAAGTTTAGCCCCTGTCTGCACTGTCTCCTGTCAGACACTCTCCCCTCACTGTCTTGCTAATTTGAACATAAAGTCACTTAGGAGATAAGCAGTGTCATCTCAGCAAAGAGCATGGCAAGTCACAAGGACGCAGGGAGCTAGCTGTAGACCACTCTGTTCAGTCTGACCCATGGGCAGCACTGTCTGGCTGGGAGGCATTGCCAAAGCCAGGGATTTGGGTGCAACTCAGTGGGGACCTGAGCAGGATTTGGTCACTTTGGCTTTGACTGAGGGGGCCACGAATCCTGATGTGTGTTTGCCCGTCATTCTTCTGAAGTCCCCATGTCTTCCTGTGGGAGTGAGCCTGGTTGTGCCTTGCTAGGTTGCACTTAGCTTGTGAGGTACCTTCTCCAGCTTTCAGGAACACTATGAGGCATCGTCACACCATGGCTTCCTCGGTGCCCATGTGTTTGGCCAGGGACACAGGCCAAACCCTAGAACCCACAAAATCATATTTCTGTGGCAATGAAATCAATTTTCCAATTCTCTCTCGTGTTCTTCTTAACTCTAGGATATACATATTGTCTTCCTAGTTAGGTCTGATTTCAACAAACAGACAGAGTAACTTGTTTTCTCTGGCATTGTGCTGATGGGCAGTGTGCTAGGGCCAGAGGTCTGCCTGTCAGTCCCAGGATGCTGGACGCAGGGCTGGAGCCACCCTTAGAACCTGGAGTAGTGTGTGTGTCACATTGAAACAGTCATTACATCCCAACAGCAGAGTCCAGAGTGACTTCAGCCTAGTTGAGAGGGCAGAAACTGTGTGTGTGTGTGTGTGTGTGTGTGTGTGTGTGTGTGACAGAGGCAGGGACAGAATGTGTGCCTGGAGGAAGAACTTGACTTTATCCTGAGATTTGGTTCTCTTAAAAATATTTTAGTATTGAAACAGCTTTTTTACGTGAAGTGATGGTGATTATATTAATAATGTGTTGTCTGCACAAAATAAAAACTTGGCATCCGTGTCTGTTCTCCCAATTAAGATCCTTGTACTTAGCTGTGAAATCCCAGAAATGGAGAACTATAGACATAGAGAGGCGAGTTCACGGCCTGGGGTGGAAGTGGCGTTCTGGTAAACGTTGTCAGTCTGCTCGCCAGGGAGAGAACCTGTGATTCGGAGCATTTACTGATATCGGGGGTGTAAATGTTCCTACTATGATGAGCTTTACACCCGTAAGGTAATGACACTCCGTGCCAAGTTGGGAAGAAGTACATGCGTCAGCACTGTGTATAGGCCTTGTGACCCCAGCACACTTCTGAGATAAGTCCTGTCTATCTTTGCCTGGACAGGTGATCTTGGGCAGGTCAGTTAAACCCTCTGTGCCTCAGGTTCCTCACCTGTAAATTGGGATGGTGATATTTGCTATCTTTGTGAGAGCTGATGTAAAAAAAAATGTGATATACTGGCACTGTACTTTGTACATAGTGGGTATCCTTGTATATTTTAGTCTAGGAAAGATTGTGATTAACATTCTGTCTCTTACACTGGTGAATGGCTGAGGTCAGGGGCGTGGGCAGGGCAGAGCTAATGGCTCCCTTTGGAGATCAGATCTTTGACCTTGCTCATTTGTCTGCCACCTGGCTGGCTGGACATAGGACTATGTGGCAGTCCCTCCCAATATCATCCACCAGGGTTCTCCTGTTTCAAAATTACAAAAGAGCCACCTGTCACATTGTCCACCCACAGCCAGGGCCAAGACATCAGTGCTTGGTGGACAGTGGCCAGCTAAGGCGACTCTATTCTCTGACTATGCCTTGCCCTCCCCAGCTTAGCAGTAGAAGCCTGATTGCCCTTTCTACCCCAGCCTGCAAGCTGGATTCCACTGGACTCAGGGTTAGTCTCCCCTGTGGTGGGTAACGGAGGTGGGAACCAGGCTGTGGCTCAGCAGCAACAAGCCAGACCTAATACCTCTATTTTTTGATGTTGATTTTTTTTCCCATCATGGTCCTGACATTCAGCCTGGCAAATTGCAATTAGTGATCCTCCTGCCTCCTGCTCCGAGTTCCCATGCCAACCGACCCAGGCACACACAATGACATGTGCCCAGCCCCCAAGCCAAAGGCAGGAGGAGGGATGTGGGGCAGGAGGCCAGGGTGAATGCTTGTGCACTTCTGACCCTGGAGCTAGAAGACAGTCCTGCTCCCAAGTGACACTAGGGAGGATGGCGGGCCCAGGGAGGCATGTTGGGGCCAGATGCACTGTGCTTGATCCTTGGCCCATTTCAGCCTCTATAGCAGTTCTCCTGCGGGCCTTCCCTGGGGAGGACTTGGCTGGCAGAATGAGAAATTGTCAGAGGAAGGGGAAGTTGAGGTACCTTTTCAGGCACATGAGGGCAGGGAGACTTTACAACAGAGAGCATCTGACATTATCTGGAGGGGAAGGTCATTCGTTTGAGCTCAGTTGAAAACTCTCTCCAGATACTTTCCCTTTTTCTGGCTCTAGAATAGAAAGTACAGGGCCATGTGACCATCTGGCCATACTATCCACTCACAAATATCCCTAAAGAGTGCCCTCAGCTCATGTGTCCTTTTTTTTTTTTCTCATATGTTTTTGTGACACTCTAAAATGTGGCCCCAAATAAGCCTGTCATTCCAGAAAAAGAAGCTGAGAAACAGATGGGTTAAAATGACCCTAGGGTGGTACCAGGGAGACCTGTTTAGGCCTGTGACTCAGATGAAGCATTTTTGAGGCTTGCTAAGCTCCCAGAAAGGGACAGGATTGTCTGCACTGGACTGGTGGTTGGGTTTATACTGGGCATCTAGCAATGGACTTCAGATAAGCATCTGTCTACTGGAATACTGGCAAGCAGAGGGCTTTGTGAGCCAGAAGCTCCCCGTGTCCACTGCTCAGATGAGGTCCAGAGAGACAGGGACCTGTCCAGGCTTACACAATAGCTTGGTAATGACAGCCATGTTCCTTGCTCTTGCCTAGGCTCCCCCTGGCTCCATCCTGCCACCTTCCCTGGTGTCTAGAAATCCCTGTGTTCAGAACAGCTACATCAAGGTCTGGCTCTTCACAGTGAAAAGTAGCCTCCCTGCAGGCTTCTGGGAGCTGCTGAACTTCCTCAGCACATTCACAGCACACTCCTCTCTTCTGTCTGGCTGGCCCAGTACATGAGGAGAGGCCAGGCCCCTGGGGCTGGACTTCAAAGAGAACCACAGGCATACTCTGGTTTCTTGCTTCTGTTTCTCCTTTAGTGAAAATTGGGTTGAGTGAAAGGCTGCCCTGGTCTCCCCCGGGTGTCAGGGTCTGGATTGTCCCAGCTTCAAGTGGACTGACATCTCTGTCTCTGCACACAGGATGCAGCACTGGGCCCGGCGCCTAGAGCAGGAGATCGATGGTGTGATGCGGATCTTTGGAGGTGTTCAGCAGCTCCGTGAGGTAAGCATAGTGTACCTGCTTTCCCCCAGGGACCCTCTTCCAAGCAGTGTTGAATATTTGGCTTGTTGAGATCTTGGTCTGAGCTTCTCAAGGTAACTGTTGGAGCAGTAACCTTCTAGCATTAATACCTCATATCATTGGGAGGGTGTTGGGACTTTCCAGGTTTCCCTGTAGATGGGCTCTGTGTGTTTTGTTTTGTTTTGCTTTTTGGTGGAACCAGGGATTGAACTCAGGCCCTTCCACTTGCCAGGCAAGCGCTTATTTGACTGAGCCATCTCCCATCCCCTGGGCTCTGTGTTTGAGGCAGTGTGTGAGGTGGGAGCCCAGGCTTTTGAGAGGCCAGTGGTTACAGGGTATGGGAAAGCCCAAGGGACTAACCCCAAAACGATATGAGGGCCAGGCCAAACAGACGTGGGAAACAATCTGGGAGCCAACGCTCATAGCCTGTGAGGAGTGGCAAGCCTGTATTCTGCTTGGGATGAGGGATCAAGGTGCGGGAAGAGTGATTGATTAGACGCTGGTGAGGACATTCATCCTGGGAGATTATGTTAATGTTTGAAATAGTGATGTGAAGAGCAAGCTATCCGTCACCCCCAGAAGGCTGCAAAATGTGTCGCTGTCAGGCATAGGCTCCTGAGCTGTTGCTCTTTATGTGAAAATACGGAGTCTCGGAGATCTGAGATCTTGGAAGGCTGGAGGTGGGGCCCCTGGGGATTGCGTACCTGGGGCGTGGGCTGGGAGGTCTTGGCCAGAACTGAGTAAGGCATTAGTGGGGGTCTCCTGCTGATAGTTGGCTGGAAACAGAAGAGACAGTGACTATGAGGATTCTGTTGAAAGTCCGGGCCCAGGGTTCAAAGATTAGATGCCTGTCTGTATTTCCATCATCCCTCTTGGTCAGGACTAAGGTCAACAGATGTCACTTCTAGGGAGCAGGAGCCATGGGAGTCATTAGTCTTCCCCATTCTTGGCTTCTATAAGTGCTCACAATATGGGGGTGGCAGTGTGTTGACATTGCTTGTGGATGTAGAACTCATGCACAAATGGAGCATATCAAAGATGACTAAAGAAGAGGTAACATAGTCTAGGTCTGGAGGTCTGAACCACTATCCTGATTTCAGCCCTTCCTGCAAGGGTCCAGGGTCTCTGAACATCCCCTTTCTGGGTTGCTGGGCTCCAGATGTAGCAGTTGCATCCCACTCCTGTGAACTCTCAGTGACTCAGCTGTGCTAGTGGAGCTTCCAGAGAAAGCACTGTAGGAAATACTGTTCCAGAACAGGAGTCAATTCAGGCTCAGGAATAGCACTCAGCACTAACCAGGCTCTTCGCACTGGCAAGTACAGCTGTATGGGTTAATGAAGGAATGGTAGCTCCCTAAAATGAACAGATTCACCTTTCCAAACACATGGTTCTATACAAAGACATTGAATGTAGCAGTTAAGACTCTTCCATGCTTTGAATCTTCAACTCTGGGATGTTGTTTACTTTATGCTCAGTGGTAACTCAGACCTTGAACATTTGCCTGTGAGAGAATAGTGTGCACACTTTATGCCTGACACTTGGGTCTGTCAGCTTCCTGGATGGTAAGGACCAAGGTAGAATCCTTGTTCAGTGAACCTGTCTTGTTCAACTAGGCAAGACCCTGACCCTCTCTGATCCTCCTTTTCGACCCATAGTATGGCTGACAAGTCTGATGATGAAAATGGCAATGGATTTGAATTTCTCTTGTTAATCATTTTCACTCCTAGGAGTGTTCCCTTCCTTTCAAATGAGACAGACCTGAGTGATTTCAGGCTTTTTATCACTGTGTCTTCCCTCACTCCCTCTGTCCCACACTGAAGAAGCTTCCACACAGCTAGCTTGTGGCAGACCTGGGGCTTGGGCCTGGGCTCCTGTTCCAGAGTACTGCTCCTTCTCTGGCCATATTTCCCCTCCTGGGAGGGTGGATAAGATGAACCTGGGACAACGGGGAGCTGGGCTGGAGCAGGGCTATGCCTGGTGTGGCAGGCAGGCAGAGAAGTGCTGAGCAGGCATTTGCTCCTCCTGGCACCCCACTGCTGCCCAAGGCTGCCAACTCTCCAGCAGCTCTGTCCTGCTCCAGTTTTTTCTCACCTGATTCCTCAGCCTCTTACTTCCTGCTGACAGCTCTGGGGCTACTTCTTGGCCCAGAGCACTCTATAAAGAGGTGTACAGGTGAAGTGGCAGTGAGGTTAGGTGTAGAGTTCTAGAAGGAAAGGGCAGACCAGGGGGAGGGAGAGGGAGCCAGCAGGGGGCCCTCTCTCCCATGGGTCATAGTCATGTTTCCAGGTTCATACCTGGCTCTCACAGGTCAAGAGGATGCTGGAGCAGATCACTGACCCAGCTGCCAGTACTGCCACAGACCCAGCACTGCGAAGGCTGACAGCCGTAGTCTCCACCAGAGCTACTCCTCCACGGCCTCCCTGAGCTGATTCTGAGCAATCCCCAAACACCTGCAGCTGGGATGATCTTTGTGTCAAAGCCCCCTCCATGACTGCTCTCCCTGCCTGCCCCAGTCCTAGAGGCTGCCCCACCCCCAGTAGCTTGGAGCTTTGAGGGCTGGCAGCTGCAAGAGAGCAGAAACTGCAGACAGTGGCATTTGGGAACATTTTCCTTGCCTTGGCATTTTTCTTCTCCCGACCTTACCACAACCTACTGGGGCACCACTGGGGGCAGATTGTGGCCCATTTACAGGGCAGAAGCCTGGCATGTCTTGGTGGGGAATGGGGTCTGTCTGTGAAGAGCTCACTGCATTTCATCACCTGACCTCCTGGGCCAGTGCCTAGCCTGGGTCCTGGTATTCACGTACTACCACCCTCAACATTTAGCCAGATCCACTTGAGCCACTCCCTCCTGGGTACTTCAGCCCTACCAACCCCTGAGCTGCTCTTACCTTCAATAGGTCACAAAATTGTGGACTGCATAGCCTATCTCTCCAACCCCCCTGGGGCTGAGTGAAGTCTCCTGAGCCCCGTCTCTACCCTCCCCCACCAGCACATATTGTCCCCATCCTAGGGGGGAGGGGAGAGCATATGCTTAGGCTCTGAGCTCATTTACATAATGAGGCTCATCAGGACAAATAATTAATGAGTTCCTGGGGGTGCATGAGGATGATATGGAGATGGACAGGTCTCCCCTCTGAAACCCAGGTCACTCCGATGAGTACAGCCAGTGTGACCTACCACTTCTACTGAGTGACTAAGGTCCAAGGGAACAACTGGAGGACCTGTGGGAAAATGAAGCAAGAATCGATCATTGTCAGGCATATAGAAGTATTTGGTTCACCAGGTATGCTGGCCCTGGGGTGGGTTTCTCTTTTTTATCTGGTAAGACAATTCCTTGGAGTGGAGAAGATCCTCCACCTATGGTAGGAGTGAGGGGAGGCTGCCTAGCCAAAGCTGGGAGGACCTGGGATGGCCATATCTGGGAGTCACAGCTACCCTCTGGAAAAGCTCAATGCAAGTCTGGGCCCCTAAGAGCCTTTCCCTATCCATATCAACCCCAGTGCTTCATCTGCCCAGTCAGGGCAAAAATGGCATATTGTCTTATTCACATCCCAAGCTGCCTATGCCACATGGTAGCCTTAGTCTAGCAGCATGCTACTGGTTATTCCTGTGGCATTGTCATACAGGTGGGGAATCCAGACTGCCCTTTCTACCCATCCTGGAGCCTGCCAGGCCAGTCCTGAGTGGGGGCAGTGGGGCAGAGGTGTCAAGGCAGAGGAGCTAATCTTGGGTAGCACCTCCTAAGGACTGCTGAGTAGTCCACACAGCTGGGCCCCAGGACTCTGTGATCCCCCAACCCCTAGTCTTCTGTTCTCCTTCCATCTGCTGTGCCTCTATAGGCATTTGTGGTGCTTTACACCTGTTGTATCTGTGGCCTCCTACCCTGTACAGGGATGTACCCAGAGTGACTTTTCTGAACCCAGTGAATTTCCGTAGTACTCTCCTAACTTGTCTTCCCCTGACCATCCCTGTGCCCCGTCTGTTAGTCCTCCCAAGAATGTGTAATTAATATTTGCAGAATGCCACATCTGGAGCTGGCTTCCACCTTAGGCTAGAGATTAGCCATGTCCAGGGCCCTCTTCCTGTAAGGTTCAAGGTGGCAGGACAAGGCCCCTCTGCAGGTGTCTTTGAGACAGGCCTCTCCATGCCCCTTCCAGCTCTCTTCCCCACCCAGCACCTCTGCATACTCATACCTGGTTGGTCTCCAGGATGCTGGCTGAGGTTGTGGTCCTGTCCCTATCTGGGAAGTGTGCTTTCTGGGCTTCCAAGCTTCCTAGGTGAGGGTTAATGAGTGCCCATGAGTGTCAGGGAACCTCAGAAACAGAGGAGCTAGGGCAGAAAAGGAGTGAGGAAGCTGGAGCAGGGGGAGGTGCTAGGGGACAGAAGTAGTCCCAGGTGGAAAGGCAGGGGAGGCCAGAGGTTGTAGACCCAGGTCCCACAGTTGATTTTTCTGTCCGAGTGCTGTGATTTTATGCACCCCTGAGAGACACACAGCAGCCCCTTGGCTAGGCAGACCCCACCCATGCAGGACTGGCACAGGCTGCCCCAGCTGATGTACTGAAAGTCAGCTGGGGGTAGGGATGAGGCAGCCCTCCCCTCCCCTCCCAGGGTCTCCCAGCCTCAGGACTGTAAGCGTGGGGTCTGCACTTGCTCCTTGCCGGCCCTGCCCTCCATGCATCGTCCTCCTGGGCAGGCTCAGTGGTGCCCTCCTCTCTCCTGGCACAGATGATCTGAATGTGGGGTGCATCAGGTTGGGGGGGCGGGTATAAAATGTGCCGCTGGGTAGGGATTGCTGTCACTTGCCTCCCTAAAAACCCACATATATTATTCTTTAATGGAAAGTTAATTGTCTTATTATTCCCTCCATATGGTCCTCTTGCTCGGCACCCAGCAGGGATGCATGGGGCCGGGGGAGGGCTTCAGGGAAGGCATCTGAAACGTGATGAGGCCCCTGCACCAGCGTAATTAGTTACAGAGAGG